GAAAAGTTGTGGTTAAAACTATGCTATCTCTAGAAAAGGAAGTACACACATGGTTAAATAGCTTTACAGTTCATTACAGGTGTGTGTGCTGTGTGTGTGAGGCAGAAGAGATGACTCAGTGACTAGGAGCTCCTAATACTCGTACAAAGAAACACAGTTTGGGAATTCTTTAAGTTCCTTCCAAGAGTTATATAAATGGGACGTTAAGAATTTCTGGTTTAACACTTGGGAAGACAGGCCCTGCACCTCATCTGGGTATCATAGTGAAGCTGACCCTGTTGGTGGGGCACAAGTGAACCGGCCTGGAGAATATGGGAGATTTTGCCCGGCCCTTCATCTACCATACAGTGGCATGAGGGGGAGAAGGATTGTTCCCCCGTACATACCTGAGGCAGGTGGGAGGAGAGCTGGCCCCAAGGTCATAAGAGGGGGAGAGCTGCCTCTGCTCCTCACCAGAGCCGGCCTTGCACCTCACCTGGGCAACACAATAGAGCCAACCCAGTTGGTGGCGGTTTGTGTTACTCAGTCTCTAAGCTGGTGGGAGAACTGTCCGCACTGCTTGTCTCTCATGCAGTGGCATGGGCAGGGAAGAGATGGCCTCCCTTACCCCTCACCTCTTGCCACTTGTGACAGATGAGGAAGCCGACCCTCCAGCTGCAGCACTCAGGAAAGTGGGCCTGTTCTTACCTGGGCAGCACAGTAGAGCTGACCATATTGTTAGAGGAGGAAGTATGGGTAAGCTGGCCCTGAGGGTGTGAGAGAGGGCTAGCTGACAACACCCCCTTGTCTGCCATGTGGTGTTGGGGGAGAGGGAAAGATGCCCCCCCCCCCCACTTGGCACTATCACCTGTGGTAGGTGAGCGAGCTGACCCTCTTCCTTACAAGTTGCAGCACTCAGGAAAGTCGACCCTGCATCTCTCCAGGGCAGCACAGTAAAGCTGACCCTATTAACAGGAGTGCTAGTGAACCTAGAAAGGGGGTGGGGGAGATCTGGCCCTGCCCCTCATCTGCCACGTGATGGTGTGGGTGGGGCATATCTCCACACCCTCCCCACCTCCCACCCCTGCGTGCATGCCTGTGGCAGTTAGGAAAGCTGCCCCTGAGGTTATAAAGAGTGAGAGAGCTGTCCCTGCCCCTCACCAGCTGCAGCACTCTGGGAGGGTGGCTCCCACACACCAGGGCAGCACGGTAGAGTTGACCTTGAAGGTGTAAGTGTGGGAGTGCCAACCCTGAGGGTGTGAAAGCAGAACTGGCTCCATCCCTTGTTCATCGCTGCTAGGGGTAAACTAGCCAGGCCAATGCTGGAGAGCTTACCTTAGTGAAAATGGGAGAACTGGCAGGCTAACCAACCCTGCAATTACCCAGGCCCAGAACCAGGGTTATGAGTTGGCCCACCCAAACATCCACTCCATCTGTGATCTGTGGGTGCACATGAGAGGGCCGGTCCTGCAGACCCAAAGCTTCAGGATCTCCATGACACAGGGCAAAAGCAGGATATCCAAGAGGAGTCAGAATGAGGGCCCAGCATTGATAGTGTAGCAAAAACCAGAGAGCTCAAACCAGACCAATGACTTGCAGTGAAAACTTGCAAGTAAAGACACATGGATAAAAGGGTTTACTGTGTGACTATTTTTTTCTCTTAAATTTTATTTTATTTTTGGGGAGAGGGGAAGTTGCAAGGGCAAGGGCGCATACGAAATGAATGGGATTGAGATGCATGATGTGAAAGGCACAGTGAGTAAATAAATAAAAAGAAAGTTAAAAAATTTGTGATCTTAAATTTCTGGACTAAAGAGCAAGAAAATTTTAATAGATAATATCTAAGCCCTATTACTAGGGTAACAGTTCCCTGAAAAGTAAGTTTACAATAATCCTTTTAAAAAGATTTTAAAAAATTAGTTGTATTTGTTTCTTAGGAGGTTTTGTGCCATGGCATGGGAGTAGAGATCACAGGAGACCTTGGGGGAAATATGTTTTCATCTACCACATGGGTCTTGGGGATGAAACTAAGGTCAGTCAAGCTTGATGGCAAGCATCTTTACCTATTGAACCATCTCACTAAACCCCCAAAAGTGGTAGATAGTGGACTTGAGTCCTGTTAGAGCATTGTGTGCTTTCTAAGCAGCAGATTCATCTCTTCAGCCCCTTTAGTATCCTAAGTAAATCATACTCTTACTACACATGTAGGGAAGAAGCAAAACTACACTACTGTTTCAGAAATGAAAATGAAACTAATGTAAGCCGATTACAGCTCTCAGTGTTATGCCACAGTGCTTGGTAACAACTTTTTCCAGTTGCTTAGTTAACAGAGTATTATTTGCTGACAAGATAAAATACAGAGCTTTAATTTAACACAGTTAACTTTTACCTCTGTGCTAGTCATCTTCCCATTTTTGTGAAAAATACACGAGAAAAACAACTTTAAAGGAAGATATCTTATTTTGACATAGAGTTTCAGAGATCTCAGTAGATGATCATTTGGCCCAGGAACTTTGGGTCTGTGGTAGAGTAGATCATATGCCAGAGAACTCATCATCTAACAGAGCTGCTTAACCTTGGTGGGCCAGGAAGCAAAAAGGGGAAAGGAACAAGGGTCTCAGTGTGTCCTTCCCTACAGCCAGTCCCACTTAGAAAGTTTCAGCTCTGAAGAGCGGCATCAACTGAAGACCAAGCGTTTAACATAGAAGCTTTTAGGACCAGTGTTATTTTCTGGAGATCATAGGGTTTAAGGCAACATCTTACAGGCAGAAAGCTGGACTCTTAGGAGACAAAAGTTTCCTATTTCTTGATCTAGGACTTCCTAGTCTCCAGAACTAGGGGAAATAAATCTGTTTACAAATTGCACTGTCTTGTGTTATGCTCTAGTAGCTACTTCTACTATATGTGAATGAATACTTTAAAACAGTTGTTCAAATGAGAACAGAGATCAGAAGTTTAGGTACCATATTAGTTTTAAATTAAAAATAAAAATGAAGAAGATCCTTTAAGAACTCCTTCATTTACTTTAAAAGAATCTAGCCTCCAGAAGCTGTTAACAATGCAGCCTTTGTGCTTCTGGCCCTGAACAGTTCAAAGGGAAGATTGGCAGTAGACTGAAGAGCTGGGTACTGAAAGCGTAGGCACATAGTGGTTCCCTGTAAAGCCAGTGCCATCAGAACTTGTGTAACTTAATGTTGACAAGCGATAGAAAGTCATCAGTGCCTGACTTTGAATAAGTAGAGGGGCAACGTTAGTTTTAAATGTTTTGCTGTCATACTTAAATACAGCATTTACTGCAGGTCAGGGACTGTTTGCTTATAATGAAGATGGGTGCTATTACTTCAAAGATTAGGCACAGAAGGTTTGGTATCTTCCCAGAGATCACAGATCTAGTTAGTATGTGACCAAACCTAGATCCAAATTAAGGACATTTGACTAGAATCCACACTTCCCTCCCCTCCCCTCCCTCCCCTCCCCCCCTCCTTCCCCCCTCCCTCTTTCCTCTTCTTCTCCTCTTTCTCTCCTCCCCCTCATTTTAAGACAGGGTCTTACTATGTAGCATTGGCTGGCATGGAACTTGCTGTGTTGACTAGAATGTGTTGGAAGCCATTCCATTATACGAAGTTCAGTCTGCCTCTGCCTCCAGAATATTAGGGTTAAAAGTGTGTGCCATCATGGCCCACCAAAGCCTCACTCTTAAATCACAGTGCAGGGCATTGTAATATACTTTGTTAAACAACTTGTGTCCAGAATATATAAAGAGCTTCTAAGGAAATAATTTAAAAATTGGTCAAGCAGGGGATGGTGACACATACTTTTAATTTCAGCACTCAGAAGGCAGAGGCAGGTGGATCTACATAGCTCATTCCAGGCTATTTAGGGCTACACAATGAGACCCTGTCTTTGAAAAGAGAGAGATGAAAAGATTTAAAAAGAAGATAACCACATGACCAAATGAAATGCTGTTAGCTTTCATTACTCTTAAGAAAAATAAAGCAAAAAAGAAATGACAAATAGCACTATAATGTACACAGTATGGTAAGATTTAAAATATTGAAAACATCAGATATTAGGGATGTAGAACACAAGCTGTCATTTTTTTGATGGAATATATAATTACAACTACTTTGGAAAACAATTTGTAAACTTTTTATATAGCAGCTGTCTTGTGACCTAATAATTGCATTTCTCAGTAATTAAGAGACATAAAAGCATTGCTAATAACAGACTTGTATAGTCCCTGTCAGCTACATAGTGAGTTCTAGGCCAGCCTGGGTTACATAGGACCCTGTTTCAAAAACAGGATTAAAGAAAAAGAGATTTGTATATGAGCTTGATCATAACTTAAAACTGAAATGATCCAAGTTCCTCTCAGTGTAAGAAAGAGAAATGGTTCACCTAGGAGACTCTTCAGTAAAATTTACAAAATAAACTTCTGATACACATGGAAGGTTTCCACAGATATATTGGATTGATGACTAAACAGAATATTTATCCCTCTGTGATTTATAAAAATGATGTAGGCTCCCCATTCATTGGTAGAAGATTTTAAAAATGGGCTTCTAAGTCTAAGCATGCTTATTTCAACATTTTGTTTATAATGTATTCCAGAAAAGTTGGGGGTTTAGAAACAATTAAATGAACTAAAATAAATACAGCAATATTTTGTCCTTGTAATGTTGCAGCAAATGAATTAAATATAGGCAAGGTGACAAATTCGCTTTTGGATCTATGATCACATATACAGCGTGATCCAGATATGGTCTATCTACCAAAATGATGAATTAAAATAGTCCTGTAGTCTTATTATGAGTTGAGCCTTTAAAATAAAGAACAACCTTCAGTTTGTGGGTTTCCCCCTTTCAGTTAGTTTTTCCCCCTATGGCTTATTATGGAAGTAAATAATAAACATACTACTTGCTACATAGCAATTACTGTGGTATTTGGCTTCTCAAACAAAACACGCTGGCTTTCTTGTTGTTTATGGAAAAGCTAATTCCTGATCTTTGTGTCTGTTTTAGTAATAGTTATGCACGAGTGCGAGCTGTGGTGATGACCAGAGATGACTCAAGTGGTGGATGGCTACCACTCAGAGGGAGCGAGCGGACTGAGCTGCGCCACTGTCTTCAGAGTCCCTCATCAGGAAGAGAATGGCTGTGCAGACTTCTTTATCCGTGGAGAGAGACTCAGGGACAAAATGGTAATGATTAATACAGCTATCAATGTAATTTTAGGATACTTTCTGAAGAAATGAATTATCTGTTTAAAATTTTGGTGTATCATTTACGTCAGAGATAATTTTGCCTGTGACTCTATGTTTATTTCTTGGGAGTTGTTTTTATGTTTATGTTAAAGACAATATGTGCCTCTGTCTGGATCTGACAGTACTGTACACATCTTGTGTTCATGAATAGCTCTTCATCCTTCCCACTTGGGGCCAAGGATCAGTAATCCCTAGTCTGAAGGACAGTTCAGGCATGCCACCTGTTCTTTGTATTTGTTTTTTAATTCAGACCATGAGCTGATGATGTTTTCTTGTCGGAGGGTGGGGTAGAGTGTTGTTTTAAACATTTTCAATGGAGCTGATGATGGTGGCTCATACCTGTAACCTCAGTTGTTAGAAGGCTGAGGCAGGAGGATTATGATGTTTAAGGTCAGCCTGGAATACATAGTTCTGTGCTATGCTGACCTACACAGTTAAAGACTTTATCTCAAAAAGCAAGCGTTAGTAAAGTTAAAGAATCATAATTTTGTGACTTTAAAAATTAGGTGGGATCAAATTTTAGCATCCATAAATAAATTCTTCACTTAAATTGTTTGAGATATATGTTTTGCTTGCATATTTTTTGTTCATTACTTGCATATCTGGTGCCTTCAAAACTAGGTGGTTTTGAGCGGCATGTGAGTGCTGGAAATGGAACTCTTTGTCCTCTGGAAAAGCAGTCAGTGCTCTTAAGTCCTGTGCCATCTCTTCAGCCCTGTACAGAGTGTCTTGACTTTGGCTGAAGTCATTGATTATTGTAACTGTTCTCACGCTATAAAGGCAGTTGAGTAGCAGCAACAGAGGCCTTAAGTGTGTGGCCTCTTAAAGAGAAATTTTGCTTACCTCTGCCTTAAACTCTTGGGATCTCAGGTTTTTTCTATTCCCCATAATTTTTTTTTTAATAAAAAGACATAAGATTACCTACTGGCCAGTCTGAATCTCAACAAAATTATTTTTCACCTTTGTGGATGTTTTCTTACATTAAAATATTTTAAAATGATAATCTAGTTCTTGATGTTAGTTGTCCTTTTTAAATTTCTGTGAACAGCTTATTCTCATTTTATCTGAGAACCAAAAACTACAGCGTATAAGTTGAGTAACATTAGTGTCGTTTGTGTGTCAAGGAAAGAGCAAATGCGTAGAAGCAAAATAGAAATAATGTTGAAAGTTTCTTAAGATCCTTTAACTAGAAATCATTTAAATTTGTTAGATGAGTTCATAAGCATATTTAGCCTTTGTTATTTCTGTCAGATGTTTGAGATGTAAATAATTCTTTTGTACAGGAACATTTTAAATGTTCTTTTTTTAGGCTGGGTTTTGGATTTCATAATGTTTTTTTACTGATGGATCATTTTAGTAACTTAGAAAGTTGCTAATCTTTGCTCAGATTTCTCCCATGTTAGAATTATCCTATATCATCTTGAAATCCTCCCAAGACCACTGTTTGGTGGTTTTATAATTACTTCTTAATGGTACATATGACACAATGGATCACAGTTAACTAGAATATGTTTAGTTTTGAGGAAAACTCCAGTTAATTCAGAGGAAAATGGAATAAATTGAATGTATCACCTTATAAAGTTTAAAAGTGGTTCTTTGCACACATAGAATGGTGTCTGCATATTTTAAATGTGGAGATGCTAAATAGTGACCATAATGATGTTGCAAGTAGTTTGTCCTAGAGTATAATGTTTCTAATTTGATAGCTGAGTATTTTTTAAAATAAGTTGTAGATTAGAAACTGTGTAAAGAGGAAGGATATAAAATGTTTCTTCCTGAATGTTTGATAATAAATATTTTTTTTTTTAAAAATACAAGGCAGATGTGGAATAAAATTTGGAGGAGAAATATTTTTAAGTAAGAGCATATCAATAGGAAAAGATGACCTAAATATAAGACAGCATTTACTAGCCGGGCGGTGGTGGCGCATGCCTTTAATCCCAGCACTTGGGAGGCAGAGGCAGGCGGATCTCTGTGAGTTCGAGACCAGCCTGGTCTACAAGAGCTAGTTCCAGGACAGGCTCCAAAACCACAGAGAAACCCTGTCTCAAAAAAACCAAAAAAAAAAAAAAAAAAGATAGCGTTTACTTAACGTTAACTAAGGAACCCAAACAGTATAATTTGAAGTGAGGTTGGTCTGAGGTAGCTCAGGTTGATGGAGACAGTGAGTGGTCAGTATGTAGCTCTTCTATACAACTGCAAAAAATGAGCCTGGGATTCAGAAGACAATCTTATTTTCAACAATAGGAAACAGAATGAGGAGAAAGAGAAAGAGAGGGAGAGCACACATATACAAGCACAGAACTTCCTCCTGGGATATATCCGAGGATCATCCATGATGGTTAGTGACTAAATGGGCTTTTCTGCCAGAAGTACTGACCTCGGAAATCAAAGCACCTGTTGTTTTACTTAACCGTTGACTGTTAGTGATTCAGGGACAATAAGCAGATCAAATATTGGCCTGGAGGAGACATTGCATACAGTTGGAAGGTTGCAATGTTTGTTTCAGGGATTAGCTATAATGAAGCATTCTAGGTTGTGAGGACTTAGGCACAAAGATAGCAATAACTCATAGGTATGTCTTGAAAAATATCAAAGTAGACAGTCTCAAGGCAAAGGAGACAGGAGCATTGAAAACGAGATAATAAGCCTTCTGAGATGAGAGTGTCAATTCTATGACTTATTTTGTTGATTGGTTTTAATTCTAGCGCTTCTATTTTCTCAAATGCTCCCTGACTGCAAATCTGGAAATCCATAAAAGTCTTTCCAAATTGTTGTTTTCTTTTAAAGGTTTTCCTAGTAAATAAACATTGTATTTTAATAGTTTTCTGTGTGATAAGTTGCTCTTATATACTCTCCTATACTCTTTTGTGGACTGAATCTTAGCATTCAGTCCATTCGATGAATTAAAGAAGTGAAGTTCTTGTTTTTTAGACTCCTGAATGAACTTGCACCCTTTAAGAAAATAAATAATAGGAAAAGTTGTACATGGCCACGGCTGACCAAGACACATACAAGGTCTATTTAAGAATGTTTACAAGAATTTAGACACATTTACTTGATTTAAGAAAACCAGTCCCCTCCTTCCAAGTGATGAACAGAGCCTTGTTTTAACAGAAGACTGACTCTCCAGCCTTTGATTTGTGATTACTTGTTATGCTTCCCAAAGGTTATACAGTGCAAGAGGAGGATACAGGGAGGCCTTCCTAAAACAAGGGAATTGTTTAGGGTGCTTTGAAAACAAGAACAAGGTTATAAAATAGCTACCAATGTAAACAGTGATTACAAATGTAATTTTGAAATGAAAAGAGGAAAGATGCTTGTTTTTAGTATGGGAAGTTGCTGAGGAGATCAAGGAATTATTTTTAGAATTAATGAGTAATTAGATTGTGGATAAACAATTTATAAATGCTAAAATTTCACTAAAAGTTTTTCATTTCTTCAACAACAATGGTATTTATAAAAGTGGGGTTTTTGTTTGTATTTGTTTTTTTTTTTTTTTTGTTGTTGTTGTTGTTTTTCTTCTATTGAGGACCAAGACAAAATTAGAATATTTCCTGGGAAGAAGATAAAATAATTATACAACACCAGTCGCTTTGACCCTGACCCCTTTCTATGTTAGGGAATCTTAAAACTCTGTATTGAACTTAGTAAAGGTACAGAACAAGAATTTTCCTGCTAAGCTTTTCCACGATACCTCTGAATCTCTTCACTGTCAAATGGCAGTACTGTAGGAGTGTGCTCCACTAAAATCTAAAGGACTTCACTAGCTTTTACTTAGGGTTTGGCCTCCTTGGCAGTCCTGTCTCCTGAAAGACTGTTGTGTAAACTGGAATATCACAGTTAGGAAGAGGAAGGAGTGGGAGTAGAGGTGTTGTGCTATTTCTGTGTGCCGCCCTCAGCAAATCACAGCCTCTGACTTCCACTTTCAGCTCTGACCTTCACAATTGCTCCCCAAAGAAGCTCTTCTGCCTCTGGGCCTTCTCATTTTTCCTGAGGGCTCTTTGTTGTCTTGACCTTGGTCCTCTTCCCAACAGGTTCTTCTGATATGGTTGATAGTCAGGGCTATTCTGTTCCACTTGGGGCTCTGTAGTTTTGTACTTAAATTTTATGTCTATTCAATCACTTTGCCTGTAATTTTCTCCTAAGCTCACTAAATTCCTCTGTCTTTAGCATTTTTATTAATTTTTATCAGCAATGTTTTTTCCTATGTCGTAAATTATTTTCTCATCCATTCTGTGCTAGGCAATAAGTTGGTAAATTTTTATATCAACTATAAAAGCAACATCATACAGCATGCCCATTTAATAACTACATATTAAATCTTAGAATATATTGAGATTATATTTGGGTTCTATTTCTTCCTTCCAAACCCTCCTTTGTACTCCCCACTCTCCTGATTTGTAGCCTTTTTTATCGGTTGCTATTGCATAAATATATATTCACGTATATATGCTTATTCCTAAATATAACCTGTTGAATCCATATAATGTTACTTGTTTTAATTCTAAATTTTTAAAGGTGAGTTGTCCTTCCAACCATATAGCACATAATTTGTCAGCAGATGCTTGTGCCAAATTCAGTTAAAAGAATTGGTGTTGACAGAGGTTTCTGTCTGGCAGCCATTCAATCCTCAAAACACACAGAGGTCAACATTAATTACTGGTTGGCCTATTAGCTCAGGCTTCTTAATAACTCTTATAACTTATATTAACCCATAATTCTTATCTATGTTAGCCACTTGGCTTGGTACCTTTTATCAGTGAGGCATTCTCATCTTGCTGCCTCTGCATCTGGGTGGCAACTGCAGACTTGAGTCTTTTCCCAGAATTCTCCTGTTCTTGTTGCTGGCCTTTATTTCCTGCCTGGCTACTGGCCAATCAGTGTTTTATTAAAGCAATATAACCCGTAAATCTTTACAGGGTACAAGATCATTG